TGTGAGGCCAAAGAAATGCAGCTCTTTGATTCCAAGAAGCTCTGACACTCGATTAAAAACATCCTGCCCTGTGGATTTCAGCTGGAGGTGAAAAGACAAAGAAGTCTGTCTTCAATATATATTCACAAACTATGTGGTGCAGCCAAAACATAATGATACAAACAGAAATCTGACCATCTGCTAAGACCTCTTGGTGATAATTAAGAGGACAACTAAAGACATATTAAAAACACCCACCCCGACAGTGATGTCCAGCTGCTCTTTGTTCGGGAGGAGAACACAAATAGTTCTCTCCTGCCTTATCGAGGTGGACATGATGTCTTGTGTAAGTTGATGATAAGCGCTTTCTCTGTGTTAAACTGCCTCAGTCTTCTCTTGCTTTCCCGATCCTTCACCTCTTATCTGTTCCACGTCAGATCATCCATATTGTGTCTAAAAAGATAGATGACATCAGAATGAGATAAGCAAAGAAATTAAAAAACATGATCCAACAACAGTTCAACGTGAATGATGAAGACAGCAGAAAGGAATTTAAAACAGATGTCAGTTCTGGTGTGTAACTCCCTGGACTGATATTGCATTAGCAATACTTCAGTCAAAGCATAAACAATTCCATACTCAGACATAAGGACATGGATGTCTCCCGTTATCCCACAACCAAGATTAACTCTACATGGCCTGTCCATTCTGAAGGGTTAGAGGCCAAACATTTTACCATCACAATTATCTTTCAGAGGGATCATCAAAAAAGCAAAATACATGACTCAAATATATGACATGGGTTGGTTTGACCCAAATTATGGTGTATAATTGAAAAACAGGAATAAAGAATAGGACACGCACATCCTCGAAGCCCACTGGGTTGGGTGCTGGATCACAAAGTATCAAAAGCATGAAAAAAGAAAAGAAAAAAGCGATCCGCACACCAAAAGAGCTCCCGTATGCGATTTTTTATTTTGCGTGACATTTTGAGCGTGATGCTCTTCCGTATACTTGAAAACAGGGACATAATTGGGCAAATTCAATGAGTAATACTGTAATCCTAATAATAGTCATCAACTGGGAGCAATTAATCAGATAATGCTTTTGCTTTTCTATTCCAACAGTAGCTACAGCAACACAAAACTACAAAAACTAAATGTATTAATTCAGATTCTGCTTATAAACAAATGGCCATGATTGATGAGGACAGTCTACTTGCAGCCAAGGCTCATCTGAAGTTTACCCCACAAGGCTGACCCCAAGCCCCTACTGGTACGAGGCTCATCTGATTAACGTCTCAAAATCAATTAATCAGGTTAATTACTGCCGCGCGCCGACTCTGATCCCCTTAAATCCCATTCTTGACGACAAGCAGTTAAAAGAAGAAAAAAAACAAGGGACGAAAACAAATGATCCGTGACGAAGCAGCCTGCTCTTGAGCCAGTCTCCTCCAAGTAAAATGTAGGAAATGACCAGCATGGTAGGAATTTCTTGAAAATTCTTTGAGTTATACTTGTCTCTTTTTACACCTCTCTCTTCAGCAGTTTGGCATTCACATACAGAAAAAAGATGTTTACATAAGTTAAAAATACTAACAATAGGCCTCACTGTTAAAAAAAATCATAAGAAAATAAAACATCATAAAGATGTTGCCGGTGTGCAAAACAGGTTGTGGAAACTACAAAAGTATATGTTCTTGGCTCAGAGAGCAAAACATTTGTCGTACTGAATATGATTTATGGACATGTTGAAACACAGCCTCACTCACATCTGTGTGTCAGTGCAACAAACCTGAAATTCCAGTAGCCTGAACATCTGACTTGCTCATGAGTCAAACTAGGCTATATTGTACATTTACACAGACGCCATGGCAAGTGTTACGAGAACTCAATAGACCCAAGTGTAGTCTCACACTGACAATGTATAAATAATGCTCACATTTTACTTTTTGAGTGTTAGAGTGTCTCTTCAATATAATCTATGCCCATTATGAGAGTGCTGTGCCTCAATATCACAATACTGCTGCATTTATATAAGTCTTTTACACAACACTCATAAATTTACACACTGAGGCAATATAACTGATTTTGTTATGACAGCCACATACACTACATTTGATTATTTTGTTATTGCTGAGATACTGGAAGAGGTTGCAGACATATGTGAGCAATTTATGAGCAATTCATTTGCAAGCAAGTACATGAGAGCAATGAGACTGAAAAATAGAGACAGATTTCTAAAGAGGGGGAAAATGCTGTTTAGGAATCTGGATGGGCTTGTGGGTGTCTCTGCTTGTTTATGCATCTGCGTGTTTATACTGTGCATTTCAATAACTAAAATACTTTTGTGTGAGTAGTATGGGCCTGGTTAGACATCTTAACTATTTTTGTTACGTAATGTTTGGCCCTTTAGCGTTTGGTTTGTTTATGCTGATAACTTTTTCCACACTTTACCTAAATGCAGTTTACATTTACTTGAGCGCTCAGTTGGAAAAATAAACATTAGACAACATGTACAATAAAGTTTGAATGCATCCTGATAGTCAACCAAAAACTGCTATTTATTGATAACAAATATCCTGCTATCAATAACAGAGCAATCATAAGTTAACTTAAAAGAATCAATGTTGTCATATTACATCAAAATATATCTCAAATATTTACTAGCTTGTGTAAAGCATTAAAAGTACTGAATAACTAATGACATAGGTGAAGGTATACCAACTTTATTTAGCCTTAAATCCAAAGTACAATCAGGCATATAAACTACACTAGTCACCACTGCATCCTTCCTCCAAAACAGGTTTACTATCAGCTCAAACACTGCTGGCTGACGTCTCCAGACATCCCCCTAGTTGCTGACCAGGGTGAAACCTGGCATCACATGAGAGCAGCCATCTGCATGCCTTAATTCCCCTCCAAGACTGTCATAATCCCTACTTCTGAGCACACTGCTGGCTGTTGGAAAAAACATCCCCTCTGCACTGTGCAGGCTCTGGAGTGTCAGGCATCCTCACAGCCCACTAAAACTGCAAAGGAATAAGATAATAGGGGGGTATCTGAATAAACAGGGGAAGGCCATTTATACCCACACAAGCTGAAAACAATAGGGTGAGCCAGCTTTTCAGTTTTGGGGGAGCAGTGCATTTACTAGGGGTGACTCAGAGCCCTGAGAGGCAAATGTATATTAGGGTCCAATGATTCATCTATCAGAGAACAAAACCTTTCAAAGACTTCTCACAAACTTGGGACTGGGTTACACCCTGTTAGAGTTAACCCAGGTGCATTTAAAACCTCCATGTTTTGACTGTTCCCATAGTCTCCATCACACCACTTATTTACATATCAGGCGATAAGGTTATAACGTCCCGGGCTAGTAGCCGGTAGTTCTGTTAAAGTTTACGTTTAGTTATTTACACATATTTACTGTTTGGATGAGCTACATAAATTCAGAAAGAAAGAGAAGCTGTAGGCTGTAAAAAATAGTTTCTACAATGCAACATTTTCCTAAATTAAAGTACTATATTTGGTTGGTAACGTTTAACATTACAACCTAACGCAAAGTGCATCACTAACGTTCATTAAACTAGCCATGAAGCAACAGGTTACTCACCATCACATTATACGAGGCGAAAGAGTTCAAAATCAGTCGCAGGTCTTCTCAAAGCTTGTTCAGAAACAAAATCTTATTTTATATCTGAATAAAAACATGACAGAAGTATAGTGAACACCAGTTTAGTATGGTCCCCCCCTCTCAGTGCGTGTTGTAACTTCTTCAACCACGGTGAATCCCCAACGATTGGGGCGTACCATTTTGAATCCTTGTGGGGGTGGACTGTTGTAATTGAACCCCAGATGGGAATGTTCGTACTATTTCAACGTTAGATTCACTTACCATTTTAGATTTATTGAGTGAATATTAACTAAACGTAAATATTTTTCTCCATCTATGTGCGAATATAAACACTATAATATTACAATACAGTACCGGACAGACGCATCCCCCTATTTTTCGCGGTGGTGGAGCAGTCTCGTGCTAATTAGAGGCCCAAACACAAAGTGCTGGGACTGGTTGGGACCCTTGTTGTTAGTGATCAATACAAACAGGTTTGGTGATTAATTAGAGCATCCTGAACTGTTCTTTAGTTTGACCAATATGTCGGCCCTGAATCTTGAAAACCTGGTGGAAATAAATCATCAGTCATGTGTTCCTTATAGTCTCCATCTACCTTTCAGTCAGTCAGTTAATGATCCCCTTTCCTAAATATAACTGTATTAGTGGATTACAATAGTCTCCAATCAGCAGGTTGCAGAAGGGCTTTCAAACTCCCTTTATGTGAGAGTGGTAGATTTACAGTACCTCAGGGGGAATGACAAGTTAAAACTTATATTAAACATTCCTGAGATCATGCACAGGCCTACATTATGTGTAATAATACGTGGTATTCTAATACTTTGACTATTGGAAACATCACTGATAAATAAGACAATTCAAGTTGAACTAGCATGACATTAATATTTATACACAAACTGCATAGAAAGTCCCATATGTATTGTAGGTCTAAAACACCTGAATGTGACGGCACTGCCCCCTGCAGGGCTGATTGAGCAACTGCAATAGAAAAATGTAGACAAAAATTTATGAATAATCATTGAAAAAAAAGGCACCAAAATAACACAAACGTTAAAAAAAATTGAAGACACTATAGGATTGCGATTACTGCTACATGTGCTCAATCATAATGAACTCAACCTGAGAGCTGTACAGCAATGTACATCAAAACTTGACTTATGTAATTGTGAAATTCATTGCAACAACAGTGGCTCACATTACTTGACTCATTAAAATGATAGCTTTTTTTCTATATAAAGTGCAGGAACAGTTTCAATCATACATCAGCTCAGACTGTATTAGTAGGCCAAACTAAATCAGCTCACAACTGTTTCCCTGCCAAGTGAACCAAACCCTGAGAATAGAAGTGACAGATGACAAGAACGAAAGAAAAGTCATATAACCCATTTTCATTATATGCATATTTAATGGTAGAGTATGATGATATATAAACAATTTTCCAAGAAACAATTTTTTTCATTCCAAGCAATACTTTCCAGTTCAAACACATAATCACCACATGATACCCACCAAATACTTTCGATAAAACGAGTTCATATTAGCAACATGTGCTTTTGCTGAATAATGATCATTGCTTAAAACCCCTGTAATAAAATGTTGCTATGTTGTAGGCAAAGCTTTATTCTCCCAACACCAGTTTGGGTTAATGTTGTGCAGAATGCTGCAATGGCAAGGAACAGCATAAAGTATTAAGACCAAAGCCAAGGCTGCGAAGTCTGAGCAACAATCCTGTTTCAAATGCGATCTTTGCCATTAAAAATGGAAAATTGTTGATAAAAAAGTAACTTGTACAAATGACCATTTTCAGTACAAAACTTGTAAAATGTAGTTGTGGTGCAAATCAATGCAGTGTCTCTTAAAATTGGTGGAAAACATTTGCAATGGTGAGGACAGTTATGTGCAGACGTGACTTGGGCCAGCTCACCAAAACAGCCATTTCATTTTTGTAGCAGCTACATTTCCAGTTCAGCATCTAATATTAATTGAATAACTTGGAGAAATTAAACGTTAAAAACATAACACTTAAATAACACTGAAAATATAGCATATGATGGGGGAAATCATTTCCCAAACACAAAAAAAAAACCCACAAAAAGTTTAAAACATGGCAGTAGAAAAATAAAAATGTCCATATCCACCGTGATTCCAATATAAACAACATGAAATGAAAGAAATTGTGATTCTGCTCATAAGTCCTTGAAAAGTGATTATATTTATTTAAAAACCAAGAGATAATCCAGATACCATAATCAGAGTAAGGTTTCGATGCAGTGAGGTATTAGCTCCACATTCCTCTCGTCCACCAACGTGTTTGATTCTGCCGCATTTCTACTGAAAGAACTTGAGGCCTGCGACAAGGAAGAACTTCTCCAGGAAGATCTCAGAATCAAGGACGGCAATGTGGGCAGCCCGGCCAATAAGGGAGTTGGCTGTGTTGGGCAGGGCATGAATGACATCGTAACGCACTAGATTACAGTCTTTGTTCTGAAGTACTGGCAGCAGCAAGTTCTCAATCATCTCAGCATACACAGGACCTGGTATGGATGACAGTGGAACAGGCTGAACAGGCGAGGTTTGGTCCATTTGATGTTCTTTAGTCAATTTAACATGTAGAATTATGTGATGGCATATGATTAAGTGTCTAGACAAAATTAGTCAAACACAACTCACCTGTTTGTTTGTCCTTTAATGCAGTTTTGCACATTTCTATCCGAGCAGAGTGATAGGGGACGTAGCGATCCTGCAGTGACCCCACCAGCACCACATTCTTGAAAAACTGCAGACCTTCAAAATCAGATTGATACAAAAGTTATCTCTACAATCTCATATTCCACATATACAGCCCAAAATGTATTTGATGAGAAAAAAGCAAGGCTAACCAGATTTCTTGCTGAGCTTGTAGAGGAAAGTTTGGCGAGGGTCAGAGTTGTCGCGGCACGTCAGCTGCAGGAGTGACCCGGACTTTTTCCACTTCTGCATGAACCAAAGGCCTAAGAACAAACAGTTAGCAGTTATTCAACACCACAATGACACAAGAGGAAGTAGTAGTAGAAGAAGAATTACTTTATTAATCCTCAGGGGGAAATTCAGTTTTTTTACTCTTTGTTATTTTACACACACCACGCGCTCAAAATACACATATGCACACAGGACCCACAGACATGCAGTTGGATAGACGTTAGAGTGACAGAGCAAGAACTAGCATTACCTAGACTGAAGGTAGTATTAGTGAAATACCTGAAAATGGCATACAAGCCGTTTTCTGCCATCAGCTAAATGTTTTGAAACTTGCCTGTGTTGACCAGAGCAGAGCTGTTGTACAATGTACCCAGGTGAGGTCCAGAGAGGGAGAGGAAGGTGTGTAGCCTGCTCAGGTAGCACTTAAACCTCGGCCTGGTTAGAACTGAGCGAACGATGAGATTCCCCAAGGAATGACCCACAAAGCTGCAAATGAAGAATATGAATACACACTGTTAGTGTGTGACCTAAAAGTTAAATAATATGATTTGTCACCTGAGAGGTCTGAGTGAGTAAGTTGGCTTTAAA